CCCTCAAGGTGGCGCTCACAGCCCATAGGTTAAGAATCTGCTTTAAACTACATAAAACATACATCTAAAACATAATTTAAAACGTTAAGATTTCATAAAAAAAAATTCATAATTAGTTCAGAATTTATAACAGTATAAAAACACCCTCACACAGACAGAATCACTCCATGTCAGCAGACTGTACAGCTTACAATTCGCCTTGACCCTAACCCTAACAATACTTTTAATGGTGCCTCTGTAGAAAATGGTGAGATGAGCAGGAGGAAGACCTGCCTTCAGTTTCCAGAGAGGGTGGAAGCAGCTGTCGTGCTTTCCTAATAACAGAGTTGTTTCATAAACCTAAAAAAAAACACCTCAACTGACTCCTTAACTTATTTCTGAAGCTGATCCAGGTCATCATGTGAAGGAAACTCGTTTTTGTCTCATGTCTCAAAGCTGGTTCTGCTGGAGGTTTCTTCCTGTTAAAGGGGAGTTTTTCCTCTCCACTGTTACCAATGTACTGCTCAGGATGTGAGACTGTGACCAAGTGATGATTCAACACAATCTGCTGGCTTCCTTAGATTGATAACTTTTACAGATTGGCTTTTATAATGAATGTGAATGTTTTTTTACAGTGCCCTGGGAGGACTTTTGTTGTTAATTGGTGTTGTATAAAAAAATTGAATTGGATTTATTTGGGATCTTTTTCTTTTGATCACAATCCATTTCTCTTGACCATATTAAGCGTTGGATCGTGAACAGACCAGTAAGAGTAGTAGGGATGCCTTTTCTACTTTTAACCATCCTTGCTGTCCTTTATTTCTTTCCTCTCATTCTTTTCCTTCTCAAACTCCCTCTTTCAGCACCTGTTTTGTTTTTGAAAGTTACCTTTCCTTTGTAACACCCCACTTTCAGCTTCACTTGAATATTCTCGTATCCCCCAGATATCTTCTTTCTGCCTCTCCTCGTTCTTTCCTCCYTCATTGTCGTGTAGCCTTGAAAGGATTCCAAGCAACATTGAGGATGGTGTATCCTAGCAACAGTRACATCCCATTTATTTATTATCTAAATGAAGCAAATTTAATATTTGGTAAAATGTGGGTGATTATGATTGGAGCGGGCAGAAAGATGAAGATCTTTAAAAATGCCGTGGTTGTTGGTAATTTTGCATGTTTATTGGTTTGGCACACCTGGTTTAAATGAAAGAGTGATTTGCAGGCTTCTGCAGAACTTAAAGACTTACTGAGGGGCAGGGAAACAACTAAAACATGCAGGATGGGGTCCTTGAGGACCAGGACTGAGAACCACTGAATAAAAAGATGCCAACTTGAGGGTAGACGTGTCCATCCAGCCTGACATGTTGGAGCCAGAGTCTTACCCAGAGCCGGAGGAGAATGAAGACCATCAGATTGTAATTGGTCCAGACCTGCAATTCCTGTTACACTATCTGCTTAAAAATGTTTTTACATCTTTCAGCATTTCTGTTCTCTTTAAAACCCTTGAATGTCTTTAAAAGTTTTGTAAAAGAAAAGAAAAAAACAAAATTACCAACAACCAAAGCATTTTTAAAGATCTTCTTCTTTCTGCTCCCTCCAATCATAATCACCTTCATTGTAATACACTTGTAAAATAAATAAATAAATAAATAAATAAATAAATAAATAAATAAATAAATAAAAACTGTCTGAAAGCTGGAGGGGCGGGGTTTGGTTTTAAAGAGACAGCCTCAAAATGAGTTGATCTGAGACACACCTCAAAAAAATGGGTGAAAGAGGGGCTTTGGAGTTACAATAAGGAGGGATTTTTTTATTTAAAAAAAACACAAAATAAACCATTGATGTGGCAACCAGTTAAATCGAGGAGGCGGAGACAGCATTGAACTATGTATAATGTTTAACTGAGGAACAGACGGAGATATAAAACACATTGTTACCATGTTACAATGAAACGTACAAGAAAGTCTGGGTTATTAAGAAAGTCTGGGTTATTTTAATTACAGCTTATTACTTATTAAAATGATTGGTGGCTTAAAACCTTTGCACTCTACATTTAGTGTCTTCAGTAGTTCGTTCTTTTCCAACTTGCTTTTTTAAACAGCTGAGAGAAAAAGCYGCAGTAGTGATCGCTCCTGCATGTCATCACTTGCATATCTGAGATCTGATAGCTGGTTGGTATAAAGCTACATCCTCTCAGAGGAGGGGGGAGAGGGRGCTAAGCTGAAGGTACCAGGAGAGTGGCATCCAAGGAAATAAAGAAGATCTTCCACTTTTCTTTGCATTTTAACGTCAAACGAGTGCAGCTGATCCTCTGCAGACAGCTGAGCGCTTTTGACAAAAACACAGAAAAATAAGTGACAAAGTCTAACGTTATCTCAAAGAAWTCATATTGTCAACAGCTTACAGGCCAGAGTTTCAACCTGAGATCATATTAAGTTGTTTTGGTCAAAGATTTCACATTCAGAATATACAGTATGTTGGGAATGACTCTCAGCTACTACCAGTTTTAGGTCAATATCTGTAAAAGTAACTGAATTTTAGCCACTGTTCTGCTTTCTAAGTTGAGCTGGCTCTGGCAGCAATCCTGAATCTTGGACCCATTTGGTCCATTCAACGTCTGTTTAATATATTGTGTCATTTGATACCTGAGGGGGTGGAGCCTAAATGGGAGATTCTTTGGGCAGACAAGACATTCCTCCAGTGAAGAACAGCAAACTGAAACACAAAGTCAGGACAAGTTTTTAAGAAACATCTTTGTTGGATAAAACGGGCACAAACAGGTGAGGACAGCTTCAGTTTGAAACTTTAGCAAATTATTGATCGGTCTGATTCTGTAAAGTTGCATCGTAAAGTTAAACGATTTAAGTTATCTTTTAGTAAATCTGTCAATGCACACACATTACCAAAAAATAAAAAAATTAAAATAAATTAAAAAAAACTTATCAATCCTCTGTTCATGTCATGATTTCTGAAATTAATATTGTCTAGGAAAAACCCATAAGATTTATTAAAATGTGTGACTAGGCTGGAATTTTGTGCTTTTATTTATGGGAGTCATGCATTATTTAATGTGTGTGTGTGTGTGTGAGTGTCCACAAAATTTCATAATTTGGCTGAACAAGTGATAAAACTCAGTCCTCTTTAGAGTTTTAACACTGAACACTCTCTCATTAACTTCTATTATATCTTAATTCTGTTGGTTTTGATTTTGGATTGCTCTTTAAAACCCTTAAAAACATTCAGGTATCATGTCACTGACTTCAGTGAAAAACATTTAGAAGCTTATAGTTCTCCTAAAACTCAACATTCTACATTAGTCTTTTTTATATATGTGCCGAAAAAACAGCAACTCAGATCTCTCTCAAACTTTGCTACAAGTGCAGAAACAGGTCTGCCAGCGCACACAGGAAGATACCGAAATAAGCAGCCGCTCACCTTCAAAATAAAAGCACTGCAATGAGATTTTGGATTTCACAGCGTGAGTTTTAGGGATGTGGTGTACAAGCTGTAAGATAAGCCCAGAGAACAGAAAACTAAACAAGAACACACAATCTAATGTGTTAATCTACCGCATTTATGCATGTATTACCCAAAGAAGTTTGCACCATAATCGTCCACAAAGTTGGGGAATTGTTATATTATATACAGTAGTAAATTTTGACAGATTTTTTTAAATGTACTACCACAATAAGTTTGAATATTGTCTTGTACAGTATATAACAGAAATTGTATCGCAGAGCATAAATCATCAACATTTCTACCCTCGGTCTTCTCGCTCTCRATTACATCACACATAGCTCCAGCTACTCCTATTTGATGTGCTTAAAGGGATCCCTGATTAGTTGTAACATTAGACGATTAACATTTATTTTAACTGTAAAATAAAGACTGTAAAATACTGTAGGCTGTTTAGTTTTGTATTTTTTTAATATAACACGGACAGAGCCATTTTATTTACACACAAAGCATTCTGGGTAAATGATGATGTGGATAGGTCATCGGTGCGAGGCTGCTAGCGAGCTATAGCCACCCTGAAGGTTAATCCTGGACAATGTCTGACCGACTCTTTTAAATGAAACTAGAGAGCGTTGACGGAGAGGAGAAGGTAGAAACGCCTGTAACTGAAAATATGGATGAGAGCTGCTTCATGGAAGAAGAACCTCAGCTTAGCCTGTTAGCCTTTGCACTACGCTGACACTATATTGCCTTATATGTATTAGCTCGGCGCTAGCGCAACAAACAAGCTAAACTGAGGTCCTCCATCTATATTTTCAGTTGCAGTCTGAGTCATTTTTGTGTTCCCCTCTCTGTCATGTGGATGGAGGACCTCAGTGACGAGAGGAGAATGTGTAGCACTGAGCTAATACATATATACAGTATGGTGACAGTATCGGGGCTAACACTAAAGCTAACAGGCTAAGCTGAGGTTCCTATATCCAATCGTCAGATATTGTCCAAGATTAACCTTCAGGGTGGATATAGCTCGCTAGCAGCCTCGCACTGATGACCTATCCACGTCAACATTTACCCAGAATGCTTTTTGTGTAAATAAAATGGCCCCATCTGTGTAACATATTTTTAAACTTTTAGTTTAAAAATGATAAAAACTAAACAGCCTACAGTATTTTTACAGTTTTTATTTTACAGTTAAAATATATGTTGTTTATTAAATAAAGTCTAATGTTACAACTAATCATGGACCCCTTTAACAATCTCAAATGGTGGTCTAAAAATGAAAGACTAAAAGCTTAATTGAAATAAAATGTTAGGTTTACTTTGGGCTCTGGTCTCTAATTAGACTTAATTAGTCCGGAAGGATCGAGCTCTGACATGTCCACAGTCTCAGGTTGGATTTTTTTAGGTCTGTTTTGAACTCTGTTTGACATTTATTCCTTAGAACTGGTAATTCTGCGTGTCTGTGTAAGGGTCACCTCGAGTGAAGAAACAAGATTTACTGCCGCGAAGCAGGCCTCGGACAGGCCTGAYGAGAGGACAGGAACTGTGTCACAAACTGAACTCTATTTAGGCCATGACAGGTCATTCTAACCGTGGAAGAGAACCCCTCAGTTCTCTTAATCAGRTAATGGACAGAACAATCTCTTCTGTTCGTGAGTCATTTGTTGTTTAACTAAGAATGTTTATGCATTTGTTAAATCATGTATCATTTTCCTGTCACAGGAAAAGTGGAACGACTTCTTTTCTTTTATCGTGCCTTAAAGATTTATAATGGTA